ATATATATATATATATATATATATATAAATATATATATATATATATATATATATATATATATATATATATATATATATATATATATATATATATATATATATATATATATATATATATATATATATATATATATATATATATATATATATATATATATATATATATATATATATATATATATATATATATATATATATATATATATATATATATATATATATATATATATATATATATATATATATATATTCCATTTCGGAATACATGCGTGCTCTTCCATTGAATGCGGTTCCCGTCAAGAATGAAATTCAAAATTGTTTTGCTTGTTAGAGACTGTCTAATTGCTAAGGCACCGCTTTATCTGATTTAACACCTGGTGCCGTTTTCAAAAGTTCATAGACGTGGTCATCTGAGGTCATCGGGTGATGGAGATTTGATCACGCCAGCTTTTCGCCTCTCAAATTTTGGAAAAAGTAGATTTGTTGTTGTAGCAGCTGAAATAAAGAACTCAATCCCTGTCTAATTGAAGAGTAGTTCCTCTTTGATCGACAATTTTTAAATAAACAGTAAAACATCATTACTTTAATGAGGTGCACCGAAGACAGAGCTCGCGTCTAAAGTCATACGATATAGGCGCCATGCGAATTGTGGTACTAATAAGGAATGCAATGTAATATCATTCAGCACAATACAGTACAGAGCATACAATGCGATAGAGTTCATTAAATTAGGAAGCAATACAATAGTATATGGTATTGTACACTAAAACAGTACCGTTGAATAGACAACATCGAAGATCGAAGTGGATTGTCGTGATGGAATTAATTATTAATCGTTCACAACTGACTGCAGTAGTTTTTCTTGTCCGTGTCCTACAATCAACTCTCGCTTAACAATTGGCATGGCAATCCAATACAACAGCTAGGCTTCACTAAAGTATCGAGCAGTTCAGCGAAAATTTTAAAATTTATTTATACATCCACTCCGATCTTTGATGTTGTCAATCCAACTGTACTCCAATGTATTGTAATATATCGTAGTATTGTACAGTACTGCATTATACTGTATTGTATTGTAGTATTATATTGTATTCTATTGCTATCAATAACAACATTTTGTTGTATTTATTTATTCGTCTTCTTATCCAATAATTTATTTTTTATAAATACACACCTAAATGCTCACACATTAATATTTTCTACATAATGTTAAATGTTTAGCTGGTACGAGCAAATGTTGGTCACTCTCATTCAATCAAAACTTTTATCACTTCATCTTCATTCATTCTGCTATAAATATGTAACATTTTATTAAATACTGCTGTTGTTTGCGTTAAAACATAAATATTTAACTTGCATTTAGAACTTGAATTTACTCAATAAACGAACTAAAAAAATTTTAAAAGAAAATAATGAAAATAGTGAAACAATTGTAAGCAACATCAAAAGGAACGCATTACACAAAAGCAGAACAACATCACTCGCACTGAAGAAACGTGAGCAGATTTCGTTGCAGAAGATTACCGCAACTCTTTTATTAGTTAATTTTATATCTCTTTCAAGTTTTTTATAACTTCAGATGAGTGACAAATTTTCAAGCAATAATTTCAACGAGAATGTTTGTAAATGAGATTGTTTAGGGTTTGATAAAACAGCGTTTTACAATTTTGTAACATTCAACGAAATTTCAAGTCATTTGCATATAATCATCACTCTTCAACATTTGCACACAAATGTTAACATTTCAAAACGTTTACATCTGGATAACAAACAAAATGACAAATTAGTAAATATAAAAATTTTTTTTAATTTCTTTTGTGTAGGTAGACATGGAAACCTTTGTTAGCATTTTTGATGGGAGGGAATATTGTTACTGGCAACGCCACTGAATCTGAATCATTTAATTTTACTTCGCTCATCAAATTTTTTGGAGCACTAAAGGTGGATTAACCTAGGCGATAGACTTTTTTCTACTGAAATATTACCTGAGCTTCATAAAGTGATAGTGCATGTTTTTGGTCAAATTCTAGAATGTGGGCGAATATTTTAAACAGTTTTTGATCAGTTGTGCAAATCAATCAATCAATCAATCAATCAATTAGCCTATAAAGCGCTATTTTCGCGATGTTCAACAGCGCTCCTCAATGAATTTTAAAAACAGATGGGCCATGAGATCTGCTCTGAACTTCGCAAGTGATGGAGAAGTAGTCAGAGAAGTAGGTAGAGAGTTCCAGAGAAAAGGACCAGAAAAAGCAAAAGCAGATTTGGCAAAAGAGTGTTTAAAACGAGTTAAGAAAAAGCGAGAACAAGAAGACGATCGTAAACCGGCGCGTTTAGGTTCAATTAATATATCTGATAAATACTTAGGAAATAATTTAGATTGAGATAGATACATAAACGTGCAAATTTTAAAAATTATTCTATATTTTATAGGAAGCCAGTGCAAGAGAACAAGATATGGAGATATATGAGAAAAGAAAGGGGCACAAGCAACTAGACGAGCAGCAGAGTTAAAAGCTTTACTTAAAAGATAGAAATAAATAAATTGGTACTAGGTATAGGACCTACATCTTATTTTGCTTTCTTACTAATACATTATCATAATTTTTGTTGTAACTGTTGTTGATTTACATATCATTTACTGGTTTTTTACTGCATATGCAGACAGACATTTTCAGATAATTTGGTGGGCAGCGTAACAATCCAAAAAACATCAGTAAACATAACAGTGGTGTATCTAAGGGGCCGGGCGTACTGGGCGAGAGGCGTTCTGAGCGCTATTTGTGTTAAAGTTAGTAGGCTATCCGTTGTGAATGCTTTTGTGTTAAAAGTTAGTAAAAGTTGTTGTTTTCACAGAATAAGTAGTGTTTTTGAAGGAAAGATTGACATTATAAGTCCATTAGCAAAAAAGTTGGCCCCCCCGTCAAAATGTTGGCTTACTCATGAGCACAGAAAAATTTTCAAAACAAATTTGTTAAAATATCCTCCCGGTCACCCTAAGTTTTTATTGGAAGTTCTTTCTCCCACAGTAATCGAATTTTTTTTTTTAAATTCCCCTTCCGGTTATCAAGTTTTTGTTGAAAATTCTCCTTTCCCCGGTAATCGACTTTTTTGAAAATTTCCGCCCCGGTCGTCAACTTTTCTGAAAAATTCCTCCCGCTTGCTCGCGTCAAATATTTTTCAAAATTTTGAGCCCCCGCCAAAGTTGTCTAGATCTGCCACTGGAACCTAGGTGTTCTTTAACATATTTTATTTAATACACTTCCGAAAATTCCTGATGTGTGTGCATTAACACACCAACCAGCGCGTCACGTTGTTGCCTCGTAAGACTGTACAGTGTATAACGAGAATATGGGATATATACACAAACGTTAATTTGGAAAATGTAAAAAGACTTTCAAATAAATATTCGGGATCTTCCGTTACGAAAACATAAAACATGACATTTTGTTCAAGCCTGCAACATTTGATGTTGACAAATGTAACATTATCCATCATCTTCTGTATAAATAAAAAAATCGTTCAAAGAGCCACACACAGTTCAGGAAAGAAGCATTTATTAAATCAAATATTTCAAATTTCGATCATTATTAAAATTATATTTTAATATTTTTTAAAAGTAGTTTGAAAACGTTGGCATAAAACACTTATTTCTGACCATAAATATTTAAACCGCTAAGTTGACTAAAAAGTTAAATGAAGAATATATTGTTATTATCATAATTTCTCGTGATGAAAAAATAAGTTGCTGAAATTGAATCCTTTCAGCAAATGGATGGCGCATTATTTTCGTTTAGTTAAAACATCAATCAGTCAATTAGGCTCAAACATTGAATGTTAAAATCTTTTGGCAATCTTTCATTAGTTTATTAACTTTGTTATTGTTGAAGAAGCATTTTAATTAAATGTAAGAAATATATAAACGATAAAAAGTTATTACTGTCAAATTTTCAATGCCTGGAAATTAGTTCAAACCACGATTTGCAGGGAAAGGAAATTTT